AAATTATTTAATGTAAATTATTAAATATTATTCTAACCAAAGATATTATTTTTGTTGAAAGTATGGTACATATGCTATTATAAAGGTTTGTTTATCATATTGAAGCTTTTGTTATGAAATAGTAATATAATTTATTTTTTGTTAAACTAGTAAAAAGAAACAATCGTTATACAATATATTAAAAAACAATAAACAACCTGTTTATTGATATACTGTGTACTATTATTCGTGCTTTGATTGTAAAAAATGTCATTTAAAATTAACGATAAATAGTTTTCAGTGACAGTAACACCCTATGTTTCTTTCCGGAAATTAAGAGAGCATTAAGCTAAAATGAATATTTATTGAGATATTTACGATAGAAATTCTATTCTATTGAAATCAAATTTACTATTGAAATGTAGGGTGTTCTATTTAAAAAAATCATGGTGACCTTAAAAACTTTATGTATAAAAACAATATAGAAAAAAATAATTATTGTAACATATATTCCCCTTGAAATCATTCAACTTTTGCTTCGTACACTATTTCGTACAGTGAATAGTTTATGAGCAATTTCAGATCGTCAAGTTAGGTGAATCACTCTGTATATGCATGCGTGCGTGCGTGCATCGTGCGTGCAGGGGCGCGCGTGTGTGTGTGTGTAAGTACATATACACATAATAAGCTTGTGTAAAACAACGTATGAATAAGTTTTGAAGTTTAAATTATGATTGTTAGTCGGCTGTGAACTGCTCAATTATATATCACGTGTAGTTGGAATGCATAGATTGTTTCAATCAATTGGCACTCGGTACCTCTAGAACTTTCGTAATGGGAGAATTATGTTACCAGGCCATTTGTAAAACGCCCCTCGACGATTATGAACTATAATCTGTTTACAAAGGCTGATTTTATTCGACTCAATGGCATATGCGAGTCGTTTCATTTTCATCCCAAGAAACGAGTATCATTATCGATAATGTACAAACCCTAAAGTCTACACAAAATTCAATTCATAGGATAAATTCACATTATATCATTTTTTTTCTTTCACTAATATCATATGTCTAGAAATATTGCGGATCAATATTGACAACACACTACTGATAATCTACCGATACCGGCACAACTATTGCAACAGATGCAAGTTAGATATAAAAAGGTTGTTTTAAATTTTAAAAATTATTAAATGAATGTTTGAGAGCAAATAATAATGTATATTATGTGTATGTAAATTTACGAACAGTCAAAAGAAATACAAAAATATAATTAACATGGCATAATTATTCGTAATATATGCTGCCAGACGAAATTTCAAACAAGATTACATAAACTTATTAAATCAGATATTAAATGGAATTTAACTGATAATTTAGCCCATTATTTGTGAAGGATGATAGTTGAACTTTGTTCAATACTTAAACTAAATTGAAGTAGAATTGGCTTGTGGGACGAACATCGTCATGCACGTACCAACATAATAGCTGTCATCAACAAATATCTTAAAAGATCTGTATCCCTTCATCTCTTGATGTTTCCCACCATTAACATTCAAAGCAATTATAAATTTGTACACTTGGGTCTATTTGAATAATCTTAATATCAGGACAACTTATTTTTC